CGAGGTGCTCCGGGTCCCCTCCGACAGGTCCTTCTCTGCAAAAGAAGAAAAACATCACTAAAAGTTGAAAATTTCGGTAGAACCTCCCCTGCATGGGGAGGTTTCCAAAACCTGCAAGAAAAACCATCGGCACGATGGCCAACACAACCACAAACCCGGCACGAAGGCCGTCAACGACACAAACGGTGCGATGGCCGACAACCCTGCGGCTTTACCTTCTCCTCCGGCGAGGGCGGGATGACGGCGTGTGATTTAGCAGGCGTGGGCGACGTGGATTTAACAGGCGTGGGCGACGTGGACGAACGTGGACGAATGTTCGTCCCCTCCACCTCGGCTTCCTCCCCCTCTCCCCTTCTCCTCATCCTTCTTCTTCCTCCTCCTTCTTCTTCCTTTTTCTTCTCCTTCTTCCTCCTCCTTTTTCTTCCTTCTTCCTTCTTCTTCCTTCTTCCTCCTTCTTCTTCCTCCTTCCTCTTCCTGCTACCTTCTTCCTCCTTCCTCCAGGGCCGCGGTGGGCTCAGTGGGGACCGGCCTTGGCGCTTTGGGCGGGCCAGGCGTGGTCAGTGGTCGGCGCCATCTGCTGGGCGCGCCGAGCGCCGGGCGGCCCGACCCGTGGCCGGAGGCCGACCAAAGGTGGGCGGCGCCGAGCCGGGCGCGCGCCGGGCACACCGGATCCGGTGGCGGAGGCCACCGTGGAGGGAGGAGGCGCCCTTGGCCATGAGCACGGCTTGGGCGGTGGCTCGCCGCTGGGGTTCACGGGCGCGCGCGGTCGGGGCGGGTGGAGCGGGCGGAGCGCGGCAAGCGCGACGGCGGCGGTGGCCCAGCGAGCACAGCGGAAGCTGGCGACGGCCAATGACGCAGCGGTCGTGGTCGTGCGTGCGTGTGGAGTGAGTGAGTGTGTGGGCTGGCCCACACATTTAGTTAGGGTTTCCCCCTTTGCCGAGTGCTGGGTCGGGCCGGCACTCGGCAAATGCTTTGGTTTTTTTTAAATTCTTTGCCGAGTGCCACTTCCTAGCACTCGGCAAAGGCCCTCTTTGCCGAGTGCCAGGGCCGGCACCCGGCAATTTTTTTTTTGTTTTTTTTGCCCCATTATTTTTTGCAGCCTTAATATATTATTTAAAACTTCATGTTCAAATTTGGGACAATTTTGACTTTTTTTGCTATATTTTGTTAGTTTTTTTGTTACGTTGAATTTTATGGAATATTTCAAATTTGAACCGCAGGTGCATGGAATAATCGAATTTGGTCGTTCAAAAAATGATATTCATGATATTTGGTGTATGTTGAGACCGTATCCGGGAACTCACATGAAATTTGAGCATCTTGTTGGTTAACATCCGACGGTACTGCTTGCTCGAAACCTTCTGTATTTTTAATTATATAAAATCGAGCAAGTCGCAAAATAGCCATTTTCAAATTGCGTCGGATTTTATATAATTGTAAGTCTATGGTAAAAAATATTGATGATCACATGTGGAGATATGCATTTTAACATCCGGCGTGTAACAAGATGCTCAAATTTCCATGTGAGTTCATGGATGGGGCCTCAATATACACCAAATATCATGAATATCATTTTTTGAACAACCAAATACGATTATTCCATGCACCTGCAGTTCAAATTTGAAATATTCCATAAAATTCAATGAAACAAAAAAAACTACCAAAATATAGCAAAAAAAGTCAAAATTGTCCCAAATATGAACATGGAGTTTTAAATAATGTGGGAAGGCCTCACAAAAAAAAGGGTAAAAAAACCAAAAAAAAATATTTTGCCGAGTGCCGGCCCTGGCACTTAACAAAGAGGTCCTTTGCCGAGTGCCAGGAAGTGGCACTCGACAAAGAAGGGATCTTTACCGAGTACAGGGCCTTGACACTCGGCAAAGGCTCTCTTTGCCAAGTGCCAGGGCCGGCACTCGGCAAAGAATTTTTTTTAAAAAAAATTTGACGGCGTGGGCGGGCTCGGCCGTCAAGTGCCATTTTTTTGCCGAGTGCCGCCCTTTGCCGAGTGTCGGGCACTCTGTGGCACTCGGCAAAGCCACTCTTTGCTGAGTGCTAGACTTTGCCGAGTGCCACCCGGTCCGGCACTCGGCAAAGAGTGGCTTCGCCGAGTGCCCGATTTTTGGCACTCGGCAAAGCTGGCGGCACTCGGCAAATCTGCGTTCTCCCGTAGTGACCTCGTCGGCCTCTTCACGAAATCATGAAACTTATTCGGAGATTCTTGGTTTGCAAGCATCGTACGTGACAACTTTGCGCGAAACCTTCTCAAATTTTTATCACAGCCTCCACAAATGATATCATGACATATTGACAAGTTTCATGATTTTCGGACTTCGTTTGCTTTTTATAGAATTTAAAAACAACTCGACCACAAGTTCGTGGTCATGTTTCGTGAACAAGATGTTCGAAATTGGTGGTCTGATCCTGGATACGGCCTCACATTATACTAAATAACATGAATATCATTTTTCCTTTTATTTTTTTCATTATTCGAATGACTAGCGGTTATCATTTGAATTATCCAAGAAAATTCAATTAAATGAATTAAATTAAATAAATATAGAAAAAGTCCGAGAAATGTGCCACATTGGAACATGGAGCACCAGGTATTGTATGAGGACTACAGAAAAAGTTTGGAGGTCAAAAGTGAAAAAAATATGGTTTGCCGAGTGTAAAAAAATGACACTCGGCAAATCATGGCTTTGCCGAGTGCCAAAAAAATGACACTCGGCAAATCACCACTTTGCCGAGTGTCAGGAGAAGACACTCGGCAAAGGGCTAACGGCGGCTGCCGGCCGTTAACGGCGGCGGCCCTTTGCCGAGTGGCAGGAGAATAACACTCGGCAAAGCCAGTTTTGCCGAGTGTTATTATTTGTCGAGTGCTCGGCACTCGGCAAACCACCTCTTTGCCGAGTGTCAGTTGTTTGCTGAGTGCTTTATCTCTGGCACTCGGTAAACAGCCTCTTTGCCGAGTGCCCGATAAAAAGCACTCGGCAAAGTGTGGGACACTCGGCAAAAAAGCCGTCTCCGGTAGTGTCAGTTATGGACCTCGACGAGCTCAGGGCGGTACATGGGCTCCGGTATCTGGTCAGGGTGAGAGCAGCACCGGCAGCCGCCATGGTACCCGCGGTTGCAGCAACCCCACCGGCAGTGGCCACCAGGGTAGCCGCCGCCCCCGCCATGCGAGCCGCCACCGCCGCCACGGTAGCCGCCGCCGCCGCCATGCGAGCCGCCACCGCCGCCACGGTAGCCGCCGCCGCCGCCACCCGGGTAGCCGCCACCGCCGTGCCAGTCCTGGACATCCGCCATCTTCTCTTTGGCCTCTGCCACAGCCCAACACATAGTACAGATAATTAGTATTTGGGTGGAAGTTAATTACTAGTATGAGCTACAGTGCACGCATGAAATTGAATGAACTCACGGGCTTGCTCGTTAGCGGAGGCGACGAGGAAGGTGGCGGCGAGCAGGAGCGCTAACACGAGGAGCGCCTTGGACGCCATGATTGATGCTATCGGCGATCTCGGTCTCTTTGTCTCTGAGCTACAACTGTGGAAAGCTCGCTGCGAGTGTGATGCGAAGCTGTGCATGCGAGCCCAGCGTATTTATAGGCGGACTGGAGCGAGGTGGGGTGTCCAGCTGCCGACCGATCGTGGCCCGTGGCCCGGCCAGTGACGAGATCGTCGTCGGCATGCAGCCGTGTAGGTTTGGGCCCCGGCCGTGCACGCGGGTGCAGGTACACATGATCAATGAGACGTTAGCAGTTGGGCGGTAGATTGCATTAACGTGCATGAGTGCAAATGTGCAATTAATCGTGCAACATGCCTGCCTGCTGCTGCTGCATGATCTATTGGTCTCTGCCTGTCCACGTATAGAGATTAAAAACCTGCTCGGCGGAAGACATGCATGCATGCCAAGTTTGACTCATGTATGTGTGCATTAATATTGCAAAATCTTTGTTTATAATAGACCAGACGCTCCGGTTACTTCTTGGATAGAGAGAGACACGCACGCGGGCAAGCAGTGCAGCTTCATGGATAGCCAGGATTGTATAAATATTTCGACGGATCGATCGAGAGATTGGGGCAGCTCCATTATTCCTGATCTGGATAAGATATCGTCTGCTGAATTTGTCTGTCGAGGGATGAGGAAGCGTTCAAACAAGAGAGAGAGGGAGAGAGAGAGAGATCGGAGCTTTGCCCTCGCACCTATATATAGTTTTTTAAATGGGCCAGGCCCGATGGACCGACATGGGCACGGCCCTAAAAAGCACGGCACTAGCCCGGCCCGGCCCGCTAGGCATCGTGCCCTTGCCTGGCACTGACCGCAGCCGTGCCCGTGCCTGGGCCGCACATTCGGCCCATGGGCCAGCACGAGGCACGGCACGAAAAAAGGCTGGCCCAGCATCGGCACGGCTTCGAGCCATCATGGCCGTTGGATCCCCCGACCCCTGCGATTCTAGCTGTTGGATTCCGCCGTTGGGGTGGGGGTGTATATGAGCAGCGTCATCGGCCGGCTCCCCCTCGCACCCCAAACCCTAAATCATTCTCGCCCTCCCCCGCCGCGCTCTCCTCTCGCTCTCTCTGGCTCTCCTCTCCGATTCCGACGGCGCGGGACGACTCCGACGGGCGACGGCGACCCGCCGTCGTCCCCACCTCTTCTTCTCGCCCTACGATAGCTCCGGGGCTCCGAAGATGCAGGTAAGAGCACTCATCTTCTTCTTCTTCTCGCCCTCCGGCAGCTCTGCACGGAAGATGCTTTCTCTTCTGATCTTTTTCTTCTTCTTTCTTCGAGATCCGCTAATTAGCAGCTTTGCTCCGAGCTCTGTCTCACGTCCGGGCGTCGTTGAGGGTAAGAATCCATGATAAACCCTAACCCTAACCGTTCTTGTTCTTTCTTTAGTTCTTGATCTTGACCGTCTTCTTCTTCTTGTTCTTGAATCTTGATCTAATGATCTACTTCTTCTTGCTCATGTGCACTTGTGCAGCCGTTTGAGGCTAGTTGCGATGCCTCCCCGGCCCCCCTCTGAAGAGGCAGTCGAGGCTGCCTTGTCTGCGTACCATGAGGAGTCTGAGAGCTTGCGCGAGCTCCCTGGAGAAGACGAAGACGATGACATGGGCGACGAGGAGGTAGAAGAGCTCTTCGGCCGTGGATCTGGAGGTGGAGCTGGTGATCCGATCGACGTTGAAGGTGGTGATGGAGCAGAGGACCAAGGCGGCGAACAAGATGAGAACGCCGATGACCAGGTATCACGTCCCTGTACCTCTGATGTGTGGCTTGACTTCAAGAAGCTGTTCAAGATGGGTCCCAAAGGTAAGAAGGTCAGGTATGGCGCTGTCTGCATCCATTGCAAAAAGCAGTATTCTGGTAGATCTGCAATTGGCACTGGCCACCAAGGTAAATCACAACCCTAACTTCCTCTTCTTCTTTTGCTAATTGATCAGTGCTCCTAATGCTAACTCTGTTCTTCTTTTGCAGCTGGCCAGCTGGGAGCTTGAACTTGAAGCTTGAAGCATATCTTTATTAGTTTAGTCTTTACATTTAGCTTGAACTTGGCTCTGTAATATGAGAACTTGGACTTGGACAATGATGTAAGAACATTGAACTTTAATGGAGCTAGGCTGTACTCTTTTCCTGGCTAGGGTTTCTCACAAGGGTGAGTTTTACCTAGCAGGTTTTTAATGAGGCAGCCATTGCACATGCTCCAAATATATTCCTATTTTCTTAACTCTGTGTGTTTGCTGTGTTTTCCTGACTAGTTGAGTTGTGCACTTGTGCTGATGAACTTGGGTTAAAAATATGTTAGTGCACAGGCCGACACGGCATGGCGTGCCACCGCCTTTCTTGTACGCCACGGCACGGTTTCCCCTCCATAGTGCCGTGCCTGGGCTGCCACTTAGGCACGGTGGCACTAACAGGCACGGCACGGCGGGCCGCCGTGCCGCATAGTGCCGTGCCTCGCCGTGTCGTGCCGATGCCGTGCCCGTGCCGTGTCGTACCGGGCGGCCCATTTGGAAAAGATTACACCTATACCATGTCCTTTGCGACGAATGCTGTAGTTAACTTCATTACAATGTCTATTTTTTCCCTATTATATGCAAACAGTAGTGTCTTCGTATTGTTATTGGAGCAAAATGCAAATAGTCCTGGAACTGCATCCTAATTGACCCCTTCTCTTAGGATGTTACCACTTTTGTTGATGTTACCATCATTAAAAAATTAGGGGAGATAAGAGAGATCGTCTCCTCAACCTCTTCATGAGATAGATAAAACATACTCCCTCACTTCTAAATTAATGGTAAGTTGTTTTGACTTTTCTAGTATATATAGCTTTTCCTATATCTCTATCTAGACATAATAGATATCTAGGTGTATATGACATAGAAAATCTAGAATAACTTACAATTTGGAACTGATGGAGTATTAATATAATCTGGAATTATGAATGTTATTCTTACATGCTTTTGTTATTGCCTTCGGTATGTTCATGCCGGAAAGAGTGCAATTCACTTCATTAGGAATATGTGGGTGTCAACGTGCATGATGGTATCCTTAATTACACGGTTTTGTTTACCCCTTCTGTCAGAGGTATCGGCTCCGGCAATATAGATCAGTATATCACACACATGAAATCAGAAAGGTGGCACATGGGACACAAATGTATACTGGTTTAGGTACCGGGGTACCCTACATTTAGTTGAGAACAGATCTCATCTCTCTATCTCGTATACTTAGAATTTACGGGGGCGTTGATGTCCAGTTGCCTAGGGTTTCTATGCAATTTAGCTAAAATAGGTCAAGCTACCGATTGGGGGCTCCATACTCCACCTTATATAGTTCGGGAGTTATGGTTACAATTCGGATTCTGATTGGTTTACATGGAGGTTTTCTAGTTTGCTACAAGAAAATCTAGGTACAGAAGAATCAACTATTCCTTATTCTAGTCGGTTTCCAAGCTCCACATCCCTAGTTGCTTGCCCACCACATCTGATGTGCCCTGGTTTGGTTGGGCCTCCCATCTTCGCCAGCTTCAGCCCACCCGGGTTGTAATGTGTTGCTCTTCGGGCGATGAGGTACCCTGGGTCCATATCACCAACACCTCCAATACCAACTTATGCCTTGCTCAATTTTGATAGGAACAGATGCACAGATACATTGGTCTAACTCATATATGCACAACTTTATTTCTAAGAAAGTCCTGCGGCAACACGCAGTGTATCCTTCATTAAATCAATTTATGAATCTGCATTAAGTAACAAATCGTGTTGCAAACTGTGTGCTCACTTATGAGAATTGAATTGTATTCTACTTTGCGTAAAAATGGTTCTTTTGGTATTTGCCTTGAGTAAATTGATTATGTGCAGGCAAATAAAAGGCTCGATGTGCCTAACGTTCCTGGTTAGGTGAGAGCTGCTATGATGCATGTTTCCCTCATAGTTTGTAGAGCCAAGTTTCAAGCAAGAATTGTGATGTGCCATATATATAATTGGTCAAACAAGATCTATGGTTCTCTATGAACGTGACACAAAACTATATAGACATAGTACAATATTTAGTTTTCACCATAGGTTGGCTAGATTTTTTTGCAGTGCCAAGGTCAGTCGGCTTCGGATAGCTCATGTGGCCTAGCAACACGGTCCATTAACAATGGTCACCGCCGCTCCATGCATGATGCATGTACACCAGACAATTGTTTCTACTTTTTTTCCAATTGGATTAATAATGAATATCTCTACATACTACCATTTTATCACTATGGTATAGTGGCAATGTGGCATTACGGTCCTACATTTAGTAGGTATTCTCCAAACCCTTTCTCTTCAAAAACAGGGTTTTCCGAGAAGAAAAATGCCAAACGATTTTAGCATTTAGAGTTAGAAATAGAAACATTTCTAGGATTCACGTGAGAATCAGAAACAAGAAAAACCTCACTGTTCTTGATGCCTCAGTTTGATACCTTGTTATTCCCTATCTAAACTCCTGAACTATAAAGAACTATCAATTGTTCATATTGCTAAAATAGACAATCTAGAACCATAACAACAGGTACCAAGAGCCTTCGATTCGGCGACCCTAATTTTCCCCAATGCAAATAATCATTTGAGCCATGGTTAGGTCGCTAATCTTTGTGCATAGATGACGAGGATGGCAACAACATTGTGCAATTGAACGAGAGGCTAGACCACTTCAATGGAGTTTCGTCAGCGCCCTCATCCTCTAGCTTGGCATCAGTATCCTAGAACCTGCCCATGGTGTCGGTTGCCACCTCTGTGGTGAGGAGCACAACATTGGCGACGTCCACTGCTTTGACCAATGTGGGCAGATTGTGGAGGACACAACTCACCCCATGGCATCCAAGTCGGCATCCTCCCTAGTGACACCGGTTTCCTCGTCAGTGAGTATTAGATATCGACTTGGGGTCAAGCCGATTTTCAAGGAGGGAGGAATGTCATGAACATGGGCCTCAGTGTTGGGCTTCTGGGTTGCTTTAGAGGCCTTTGGCGGGACAGGAACAAGGTGGATAAAATATCAGGGTAGCATCATAAGGCATCAAAGAGAACATAAGCCGTCTTCCTCCTCTATCCAAGAGCTTTGTGTCTATTGTTCTTGCTTCCTACCTCTAATTCCTTGTTGTTCGCAGCCTAAATTCCCTATATAATTCTTTTGAGATTGTATCCCCAAACTATCCAGAACTATCAATTGTTCATATTGCTATAAGATTGATGGTTTAGGACCACAGAAATGAACCCCGGTGTGTTTGGTATGGATCCAAATTCTCGTAGAAATATTTCAAATCTAGATTATATGAAGAAGTGTTTCTGATAGTGAATCAGAATCACTAGACTATTTGGCTTGGCTGAATTCTGATTCAAAAAAATGTTTTCATACAAAAACCATATAAATGAAAATATGCTTCAAAAAGATTCAAACTTTTTTGTGGCCAAAGAATAGCTTAAATACAACCAATTTTAACTTGTTTCACTTAAAAATAATTAACTGCAAAATATGACATGAGAAGGAAGAATCGGAATCATTACGAAACCATGTTTTCACTGTTTCAGTTCACAAGCGGAACATCACTGATCCAGAGCGTTCAAAGTAGAAACGTTTCGGTTATGTACTGTTTAGCTATGATTCTAGCGATTCTCGTAAGAATCAGAAACGGTTCAGTGCTAGTGCGTTTGGCAGAGCTTCAGATTCTCACAGCAGAAACATTTATGATGATGAATTGGAATCACTTTATGAAACCGTTTGACTAGTGAATCGGATTCCAATTTAAAAATCATGTAAATAAAAATATGTTCAAAAAAATTCTAACCTTTTTGTGGATGGGGAACAACCTAATAAATATAATTAAATGCATCAGAGATCTGTTAACTTGTGAGAATGTTTCAGTTAGGTCTATCAACTTTCAAAGTAGCTTTTTAGGTACAGCCGTGTCACTTAGGTGCTTCTCATATTGACGGGCCTGCTAGCTTGTCCATCTGGAGCAACTGTTAACTCTTCATTTGTCAAACACGTTGTGGCCCGTTGACGTGCTCCGTGAGGCCGCAGAGGTTGCATTCGAGAGCGACGCGGCGTGGCGGCACATGGTGATGGACGCCGGTGTGCTACAGCGCGTGCTCCGCGTCATCGTGTCGAACGCCAGCGAGGTCAAGGGTGCCTATCCCGGACACCAGGGGAGCAGCAGCTTAGAGATCACGCGCGCCGTCGAGGCCGGACTTGATCTCGTCAGCGCGCTCGCCATCTCTGGCGACGAGCTCAGGCAGCTGGTCGTGGCTGATAGCCACGTGCACGACCTCTTCGACGCGGTGACGGACGTGCTAGCAGGCGGCGACATGACGAGGGCACGCTGGGCCAGAACAGCGCCCTGGTCGTGGACGCCGGTGCCGCGCATGAGGCCATCGATCTAGAGCTCGAGGACACGCCGCCGCCACCGTCCTCGTCCTCGCCCGCGCCCGCGGACGGCGGCAGGAGGGCACCCGGAGCTGGCCATGGCGCTGCTGGCGGAGCTGTGCGCGTGCTGGCGGCTAGGCCGCGTTCCCCGAGGTGCGGCGTGAGATGGCACGCGTTAGCGCCATAGGGAAGCTATGCTGCGTGCTGCAGGCGGACTACGCCGCCATCGTCAAGGAGGCGGCCTGCATCGTGCTCAGGCTGGAGCGGGTCGCCCTGCGTGAACGCATATACCTGCTCTCATCAACATCAGTGACGTCACGCACTGGGTCACCAGGGACACGGAGCGCAGCTGCGGCGGCGTCTACTACTCGTGCGCCCACAATGTGTTTGGGAAAATTAAGGGTCAATAATTGCTTTAGGTGGATAAGTCAGCAGGCCACATCAGCATGAGAAACTCACATAGAGGGATTTAGACCTAAATAATACAACATACAAAGTTTATGAACCAAAAAATCACTTTGAAAATTGATGGACCTAACTGAAACCTGCTCGCAAGTTAATGGACCTATAGTGCATACTATTTTAACTTGTTGCACTACAAAAGAATTAACTGAAAAAGAACAAAAAAAAAAGAAGAAGCAATGAGACGAGAATCTGTGCGAAACCAGCCTCATGCCATTTCACGTGCGTACGTAGAAACAGTGAAATATTTGGCTCCGAATGACTTGCTGGCGGAATGACTGTTTGGAAGTGATTCAGGTGATTCTCGTCGGAAACTGAAACGTTTCTCCTGTCCAAACGCACCCACTTGGGTCTGTATATGTACATAACCGGGTCACAGTCGCACGTTCATTTGTCCGATGAGTTGCTCATGATCTTAGATCGAGCGCTTGGTCACTTGCGGCATGCCTATATCCATCTTATTATTAGATGCATTCTTGAAGGAGAGTTTGAACACGATTATAATCATTGTTATTCCAAACATAACACTTTCAGATTAATTCTTTTATACGAAACGAAAGGATAGAAGTGTAGATATAGATACTGGGATAAGGGTACCGTGCTACGGCATGGATCATGTTGTATACTCCTGCGAACCAGCAGCGCGAAAGACGTACGCATGTACGTCTATAATACGCGCCTTTATATCCGTACAAAAACAACTCGACGTCGTCGCACGTTATTAAGGATGCTGTTACCTAGCTACAGCCGTGTTATTTAACACAAGTTCCATAACCATAAGGAGAGCCTCGCTACGCAGCTAGCTAGCGCGCGCAGCGCCGTGGTAGCTCCGAGAGTGGCTTGGCAGCGGCCGGGCCGGGTCTAGTTCTTCACCTCCTCCGGTCGGCCAGCGCCGGGCGGCGGCGGGCAGCACTTCTGGCAGCCTCCATGGAATACGTGGTGGCAGCAGCCGTACTCGCAGGCGTGGCTGTACCCACCAGCTGATCCGCCGCCGCCGCCGCCGCGCCTGTCCTTCACGACGGCGTCGTTGTTTGCCATCTTCTCGTTGTTTCCATCTGCGTGGTGGATGAACAAACGAAGTATATTGATCAGAGCCCCTTCATGAACGTGATTACCATCTGTACTACCGATTAGCTAGCGTAGGTATACGATTCAGCGTCATCGTATCTCGTGTGTAATGAGAAGGAAGAGAAGAGAAAAAACAGGAATCCGACGACGCACAAGTTTGCTCCGCCGCGATGGCGAGCACGGCGGCCGACGCTAGGAGGGCGAGCAGCAGGAAGAGAGCCTTGGACGCCATCGATGTATCGATCGGACGTCGCAGCCGCCGGTGGTGATGAAGAAGAAGAGGGACGAGCGATCAGATTCAGCAGCAGGTTCAGGTGCTATTTATACCGGCCGGCAGCCGCGGATCGAGCACGGCGCAGATAAGGGCGTACTATACGTGAGACGGGAAGAGAAGAGACTCTAGTGAGGACGGAGAGGTTGATATGCGTGCGCTCTCTTTATTTTGTTCCCACACGGCGGTGAACAACCGGACACAGGTCACCCTGTTCGTCGCGGTGTAGCTAGCTGCAGGCACTCTATGTGTCAATCGGCGCGACCGCGTGTGGAGGTCGTGAGCGATCGCTGGTGCGCCACGACCACGAACGCGCCTGCAGTAACCGTCCGCCCTCTCGCGCGCACGCCTCGGGACTCTGACCATCAACTCGTGACCATACCGCTGGCGTTCTAGGCACTGGGCAGTGCTAGGCTGTCAGCTCTAGAGCTGGCAATGGCCTCCCGTCTACCATTTCTTATGGGAAATTCCTCTAATCCATCCTCTCTATTAGAGGACGAGACTAAATTTTCACAAGACCGGACGAGTTTCTAAAAAAAAATCTTAAAACATCCTCGGATAGGGAAAACCGGCCTAGACCGATTCCGAAACCGGCCTGCCCCGCAGTCTTGTATGAAGAAACTGGTCTAAGTTGGTTTTGTCTGCTGTTGACGGTCATTAGTCATTACATGATCAATCTGACCATAAAAAAATTCAAGATTAGAGAAATACTTTAACATGTCGGGTATTAATCTTTAGAGAATTGCTCCGATAGTCCTCTTTTCTAAAATTGCACGTATCTCAAAGTGGCCCATCCTTAATTAATTAACTAATTAGTTTCTTAATTATTATGGATCCGCATTGGACTTGGCCCTCCCAAGTCCAGCGGCCTCTGCCCAGCCCAAAGCTCCAAACCCAAGCCGAACTCATCCTCATCGCGGATCTCCTTTGTTCAGACTTCGAAGACAAGGAGCGGACCTCGTCGACGGCTCATCTTTGAATCCTTTTGTTCAGTGCCGTTCCATTTTGCATGAGGAGGTCCTCTGCCCCTTCCTGATGGACGTTCGCTGCCTGTGTTGGAGAGGTCCCATGAGGACAGCCACCGCGATAGCTGCATCATGGACGCTGGCGCGAGGCAGCACCACCATATGCATGGCTGCCTTCGTATCCCCAGCACCACAACAATAGGTGGAATGTTTACAATTCAATGTTACCATGCTCTAAATAACCAGTATAGTCCTTACTATTTGGTGAAAAATAGACTGTGATATCTATGATAGATTTTTTATTGGATGGAATACTCATTGTTCACTTATTTGATTATTAGAATGTTGTAAGGGTTTGTTTGTTATTTTGCTACTGGACAGGGTCTGATTTATAAGACCGTGGCATCAAGATTTTGTATATTTTGTTTTTGCAAATTCTCACCAAAGATGTGTATATCAAAAACACGTCTTTCATGAGACAAAAAAACACAAACAAACAATTTGCTTTTCTTTTCTAATAAATGAAGCCAACCCAACTTTTATGTACAGATTGGTTGGTGGATTCATGCATCGGTTGGAACTATAAGTTCACCTTGCCATAAGTTTTTGTTGCAGATATAAAAATCATAAATCAAGATTTGTTGAACAAAAACGGCATGGGAGGCCACAAACTTGACGACCGACCTCATTTGGTGGCCACTCTCACAGCGTGTATGTGATGATTGTTCATCAAGGACCCGTTTGTTTAATACATGTCGCTGATGTCTTAATATCAGTGACACATTTTTACACGCCAACAGACATAAATTTCAGACACATTTTTTGACATAGTCTACTAAAGTGTCATCCATTCTTGAAGTGTCATGTGGTCAGTATTCTCCAAAACATTTGCCTAAAGTATACAATATTTCCCTCAGGGGAGAACATATATACATGGGTTTTTACCGGAAACTCATAGGTTTCATCGATCCATCAAAACTCGAAAGCACATGTAAGTCATATGGGGAAAGTAAAGGGTCTGTTCGGCTGCAGCGGTTACGACTTTTTCTACAATGTACTCTGTGAGTGTTGAAAAAGCCGTAACCTGCAGCCGCTGCGGCGGTGGCTTTTTCAGCACTCATATAGAGTAATGTAGAAAAAGCACCATTGGATGTGCATCAAGATACGTGCACGTCAAGAGAGATATCTCATATGGTCTTGCTATACGCGTATGGGTACGTCTGTACGTACATGCGTTTTCCATATGTTCATATAAAATCTCTGCAGTCTGCATGTACGATACATTTCTCTACTAATGTGAAGGTATGTATATCTTAGTACACCTGGATATTATTCATTGTCATACACCTCCACATGACACTCCTTATAGACAAATGTCTCCTAGACAACCTATAGCATTTAGGAAAAGACATTTCCTTATAGACGGAAACAACTGCACCATGTGTGGCTGTCAAATCACTTGATATATTCACCACATTTTCCAATAGTGCTAACACACATGGTGATAATGACTATGGGTAATTTTGTTGTTCTGTATCTTATGGATAGCCTACATGCAGGATGGTGAAGCGTATGCTTACCTTCTCAGCACCCTTGCTCCAGAGCTTAGCTCAAAAACCATGATAGAAACTGCAGATCCAAAGGAGAGGGCGCAGAAAGTACTTGAAACCGCAGAAAAGCTCGATTGTACAAGATATGTAACGTCTAAAGATATTGTTGAAGGTTCGGCCAATCTTAACTTGGCATTTGTTGCTCAAATATTCCAAAACAGGTAAGTACGTAGAGAGAAATGACCTTTCCTATGCCTGTATCTGAGGTTGTCAAGAACTCACAATGAAGTTCAGCAATTAACTAGCATGTGTTATACTTATACCTCTTGCCTATGTCTTCACCATGAACACATTACAATATTTTGATACTGTTGAAATTGAACCTTTCAAATGCATTGTATGGAAAATCTTCTCTATTTTTGTGAACAGTGTACATTTGAATGTGCAAATACAGGAAAAACAACTGAAATACATATCATGTCTACCACGTCTTTCATTTAGTTTTTCATACACTAGTACTGATCTACATGGACTGCAATAGCATTCACACCACAGTGAATGTTGAATGTTTATTCAGTTACTCCTCTAAAAGAAAAGAGCATGACTCTTCATCATATCTGCCTAAACTACGAACAACATTTCTCCCTTTGTTAATGCATTTTGTGTGGAACGATTACAAACTTGTGCAGAAATGGTCTATCAACCAACACTGTGGCTCCCGTTCATCAAGATACTCCTGATGATGTGGAGGCATCCAGGGAAGAGAGAGCATTTCGCCTATGGATCAACAGTCTTGGAATTCCAACTTATGTGAACCATTTGTTTGAGGATGTTAGGACTGGGTAAGATTTATCTCTAAGAAAAAATGACCTTAGCTTTTTTGGTATATATGTTGCTACCTTACCGAAGTTTATTTGCAGATGGGTTATGCTAGAGGTTCTTGACAAAATTTCTCCTGGGTCAGTTAACCGGAAGCATGCATCTAAACCACCAATTATTATGCCATTTAGAAAGGTTGAAAACTGCAATCAGGTTATCAAAATTGGGAAGGAGTTAAACTTTTCTCTGGTGAATGTAGCAGGAAATGACATTGTGCAAGGAAATAAGAAACTAATTCTAGGTAAATACATGTTTATATATAAGCTTCTTTGATCTTATTCCAATTGTTGCTTTGATGCTCCAGATTTCTTTTAAAAAGTTGTTCACATTTTCACTTATTATTATGGATAGATTATGTTATTTTAACCTATCAAGGTTCAACTGCTTCTATAATAACGTCTATTATATCTAAAAGGAAAAAGAAAAAGAAAGGGAGCAAATACATATGTGAGGAGGCGGCTTAAATTACTTTTTGGGGGATATTTTAGGCTTAAATTTCGTACAAGAGGAGAAAAAAATGCTTCGATTACTTCATTGAGTGTTTTTTTACTCCCAGCTTTCCTGTGGCAACTCATGAGGACTAGTATCCTACAATTGCTAAAGAACTTGAGATCCCACTCTAAAGAGAAAGAGATCACAGATGCTGACATTCTCATTTTGGCTAATAACAAGGTCAAGGAATCAGGCAAAACTTCCCATATTGAAAGCTTCAAGGTTCATCGACCGACCTTCACCATTTTGGCTAAATTGAGCTATCCTGTTATGTGCATAACATTAAGCAGTCCTATTGATTCTCTAGGACAAAACAATAGCAGATGGGGTGTTCTTTCTTGAGCTCCTTAGTGCTGTGCAGAGCAGGGTTGTTGACTGGAACATGGTGAAGAAGGGGGAGGATGGTTTGTATCAATTTCATGTATATATTGTGTTATCCTGTGAATTTTCACGAGTACCATGTCATTTGCTTTCATGGTTGCAGAGGACGAGAGGAAGCTGAATGCAACATACATAATCAGTGTTGCTAGGAAGCTAGGTTGCACTGTCTTCTTGCTGCCTGAAGACATAATGGAGGTAACAAGAGAATGCTGTATTAGTTGCACATATAAATTCGGCAAAAATGATATATAAACAATAACTTCCTTATAACAAGCTTATATAAATCAACACTAGGCATACCAGTGGTCTCTCTCAGCTCAACCTCCGTCGTCCATCCTATGAGGCAGTGAAAAGAACAGTATTTTTTTTTCTTTCTGTTTGCACTGTCGTGGCAGGTGAACCCAAAGATGATCCTCACCCTTACTGCAAGCATCATGTACCGGAGCCTGCAGAATCAAGGGCCTTACCAATGTCCAGGACCACAGGATGCTCTTCCAGAGGAAGAGGAAGGCGAGGAGGAAGAAGAAGAAGAGGATTTTGAAGGAGGCGTCGAAGATGGTGTCTCCAAAACGACCACTTGATAAGAATGTCATGGCTGACTAGGCATTCGCGGTTAAGTTACTGGTTTGTCAAGGGCATTTCAGAAATGCTGAGGCAAAGAAATCCAAGGGAGCTGCAAAGAAGAAAGTTTTGGGTAACATATATAGTGGATTTCATTCTTTGCATGCCAAAGACAAATAGCAGTGTCGGTGTTTCGGACCGGGGGTCCTCAACCAACCAGTAAATGTGAACTGCGTGCCCCTAATCCCGGATGGTGATGCAAAGAGACACAAGGTTTATACTGGTTCAGGCAATCGGTGCCCTACGTCCAGTCGGAGAGATCGATCTTGTATTCTTTGCACCGAAGTGCTTGTAGTAGGGGGTTACAAGATGGGTGAGAGAGGGAGCTGGTCCCAGGTCTCGGCGTGGAGCGGTGCGGGCTGCTTGAGACGTTGCTCTCAGGCAGCTTGGGAGCGTGGGTGTTACAAGATGTGTCTAGGGCGCATATGGGAGCGCGGTTCTATCGTATGTCCTTCTTTTTCCTCCCTTCTCTACACTAGTAGAGAAACGACTTTTGATCCACTTCAAAATTTGGCTTTAGTCCCGGTATTTTTCGTGCCCGGGACTAGAGAAACCTTTAGTACCGGTTGATAGCTCTAACCGGGACTAAAGGTCCTGCCCAACGGCTACTGTGGCAGCCTTTTGTTGCAGGGGACCTTTAGTCCCGGTTGGAGCTACCAACCGGGACTAAATGTTAACTTTTACTCCCGGCTGGTCCCTCCAACCGGGAGTAAAAGTCTACTCCCGGTTAGGCTCCGTCCGAGATTAGAAATGAACCTTTAGTCCCGGTTGCTGTCTCCAACCGGGACTAAAGATCTCCAACCGAATACGGGAGCGACGTTTTGTTCAACCGGGACTAGTACGTAGAGTAGCTGCTACATAGTACGTACTGATAGCTAGCTGATCCCGGCTAGTACGTAGGAACTAGCTAGCTAGTACATTTTGTTCACCGTCAGTACTGACATGTCCGAGACTAGTACGTAGCTGTTCACCGTCAGGACATGTCAGTACGTGTCTCTTTGCTAGCTTGCTGCTACGTACGTAGGAAATCAATTAGTCCCGGCTGGTATTACGAGCCGGGACTAAAGATATACTTTTAGTCCCGGCTGGTATTACCAGCCGGGACTAAAGGTCTTTTAGTCCCGGGTGTTTATAGGAGCTTCGATGGGCCGGCCCAGTACGCAATATACTGGAATTGCTGGCCAGTCCCACCTATTAGCACCACCTCGCTTGTTCAGAAAAGTGAAAGCTAACTTAAAAGCTCAGCTCTCGAACCATGCAGCACGAACTTGAACAGGATCTGCTCTATGGGATTGTACCGCTGATCCTTGACTAAAGGTCCTTCGTACTATAGTTTATACAAAATGTTGAACATTATAAACGTATGTATATTCTAACAGCGTAGAATGCGTATTCAAAAACCAAAACGAATCATCAATTAAAAAAAGAAAAAAAAAAGAAAATAGAAATAGAAACAAAAAAAAGAAAACCTTTAGTTCGGTAGCAGCGTGAAAATAGAAAAAAAAAGGAAAATAGAAATAGAAACAAAAAAACCTGGTAGCAGCGTGAAAATAGAAATAGAAACAAAAAAAAGAAAAAAACCTTTAGTCCCGGTTGGTATTATCAACCGGGACTAAAGGGTTTAGCCCCGGTTGGTATTACCAACCGGGACTAAAGGTCCACCTTTAGTCCCGGGCGCGAAACCGGGACTAAAGGAGGGGCCCTTTAGTCCCGAATTCGTGCTCCCGGTTCCAAAACCGGGACTAAAAGGGGTTGCGAACCGGGAGTAAAAGTAGTTTCTCTACTAGTGCTAGCTATCCCTGGCCGCTTCATTTTATAACCGCAAGGAAGGAGCCAGGAGTACATGGGTGAGCTACACGCGGAGCCTACTGTAGTTTAGTCCTGCAACCACATGGCGTTGGGAATGGAGATCAGTATTGGTCTGGCGCGCCGTGCTGGCCAGGTTTGAAGTGGTTGAGGTCGTGGGGGTGCGTGATGTAGCTGATTGTGCCGAGGCCTGCTTTGCCGAGGCCTGCCTTGCCGAGGCCTTGGAGGTGACCTGTGTGCGACGTGGGGGTCTCGGTGGTCCGCGTCATACTTGGTTCGGGTGAAAAAGTGCGGAGCGGGTGCCCGCAGGGCACGGTAGCCCCTGCTCCATCAGTAGGGAATGGTAAAGAGGAGATTTGACCGCCGTCCAATCGCCCCTGTTGCTATACCCTGCCAATCATGGCTGACGTAGGCATAACCAGGGGTACTTACACGGATGGGACGGCCCGCCAGAGGGGCAGTTGAGGCGGAGGCGACGAGGACGTGGGACGAGCCTGGCCTCGGCCGAGGTGGAGAAGGAACAATACGTCCGAGGCCCTGCCGGGGGGTCTCGGACGAGGCAGAGAACGAGCGGCTGGGCTCTCCTGCTGTTTCCGAGACTACAGGGACATAGACTTGACCTTCCATGCCGCTTTGTCCTTGGTGCAGGGGTTAGGTAGCACAGGGCAGTATGAGTGTCAGTAGGGAGCACAGTGGTGAGCACAGTGGCAGGTAACCCCTGCTGCGCCCGGTCCCTGTCCCGTCGGTTGTTCTGCCCGTACTGTACCTACGTGCGGCTGACGTTTGCGGGAGTGGTTGGGCGCATTAATCCGGATGTGACGTTTTGTCAGAGGAGTTTGGTCGGGACGGAGGTTACGAGTATGTTTGCCGAGCCCGGCCTCGAGCGAATCGGAGAATTGGCATCCCGTCCGAGGCCTTTTGGGGCGAGGCCTCGGCGAGAGGGCCTCGGCGAGAGGGCCTCGGCGGGGCGCTTTTGGCCTTTCGCATGAGGCCTCGGCGCAAGGCCTCGGGCGAATCGGAGAATTCTGCAGAGACCTCGTGGTTGTCCTTTGGCTTTGTTTTTTGCAAGGCTTTAAGCAATATTTTCGGTTCTTGCTTAGGGTACCCCTTCTTGTGGTATCCGACAGTAGCCCCCGAGCCTCGGGAGGAGTGCGGGCACTCTCCTGAGGTTTTGATGAGACTTGGCTCGCAACAGCTCTCGTCGGGATCGTGTTTTGTACTTGGTGGTTCCGGTGGGTGCGTGCGAGCGCACCCGCCGGGTGTAGCCCCCGAGGCCCTGGAGGAGTGGGCTTACTCCTCCAGGGGCTTTTTTCTCTGTTGAGCAAGGAGTTTTATCATGCTTGCCGGGCCTGTGATTGTGAGTTCGGGTCGCTGGGACTTGGCCTAGTTGCAGGAAGAACCCCCGAGTCTCCGCACGGAGCGAGAGGGCGATCAGTGGTTTCCCTATCTTTTTAATGGCCCTCACACATCCTTTTTGCTCGGAAGGAGGGGTTTGTTTGCCGAGCCCCCTCAAGTGCGAGCCTAGGTCACTGGGTCTCGGCAAGTTTTGTAGGGGGAGACCCCGAGCCTCCACACAGAGCGAGAGGGCAGTCAGGAGTTCCCCTAGCTTTTTATGCGACCCTCGCGCATCCTTTCGCTCGGAAGGAGGGGGTTGTTTGCCGAGCCCCCTCGAGTGCGAGCCTAGGTCGCTGGGTCTCGGCAAGTTTTGTAGGGGGAGCCCCCGAGCCTCCGCATGGAGCGAGAGGGTGGTCAGGAGTTCCCCTAGCTTTTTATGCGACCCTCGCGCATCCTTTTCGCTCGGAAGGAGGGGTGGAATATGCCAGGCTACCCTCGGTGGGCGCGAGCAGTGGCACTTCCGGTGAGCTGCTATCGGGTAAGTCCGAGTGGAGGCCCATGCCCCATTCGATAAGGGTCGGCTAGCGGTCCAGAGACACACTCCAAAAGTACCAGAGGGCTTCTCTATTGGGTCCTAGGGCCGTTCGATTGGCCCCGGGGGCTTGGCGCCTCCCTACGGTGGGATCCCATTCGGAGAACTCCCTGCTGGTCTCGGACATGACTTAGGGCATCGCTTGCTCGGGCCGTGGCCATGTACGGGCTCGCCCATAGTTGTCCCTGACTCTGTTGTCCTGGGGCAGCTGTCGAAACCCTCGGTGGTCCAGCCTTCGAACCCCTGGATCGTAATGGGCTCGGCGCCCTTTTTATCGTGTTTTCTTTCGATCCTCCGTGTGCGAGGTTTGGTTGCTTGCTGTTGTCTTGGGTGCAGGAAGAGGCACCGAGCCTCCGCACGGAGCGAGAGGGCGGTCAGGAGTTCCCCTGGCTTTTTATGCGACCCTCGCGCATCCTTTTCGTTCGGACAGAGGGGTTGTTTGCCGAGCCCACTCGTGTGCGAACCTGGGTCACTGGGTCTCGGCAATCTTATAGGAAGAGCCCCCTAGCCTCTGCACGGAGCGAGAGGGCCGTTAGGTGCTCTCCTGGCTTTTTATATGCCCCTCGCGCATGAGGGTTTGTTTGCTGAGACCCCCTTGGGTGCGAGCCTAGGTCGTGGGGTCTCAGCATATCTACAGGAAGAGCTCCCTAGCCTCTGCCCGGAGGAAGAGGGCCGTCAGGAGTTCCCCTGGCTTTTTGTTCGACCCTCGCGCAACCTTTTTGTTCGGAAGGAGGGGTTTGTTTGCCGAGCCCCCTCGAGTGCGTGCCTAGGTCGCTGGGTCTCGGCAAGTTTTGTAGGGAGAGCCCCTTAGCCTCTGCGAGAGGTCCGTTAGGGGTTCCCCCTGGCTTTTTTATACGACCCTCGCACTTCCTTTTCGTTCGGAAGGAGGGGTGGAATATGCCAGGCTACCCTCGGTGCGCGCGAGCGTTGGCATTTCCAGTGAGCTGCTATCGGGTAAGTCCGAGTGGAGGCCCGTGCCCCATTCGATAAGGGTCGGCTAGCGGTCCAGAGACACACTCCAAAAGTACCAGAGGGCTTCTCTATTGAGTCCCAGGGCCGTTCGATTGGCCCTGGGGGCTCGGCGCCTCCCTACGGTGGGATCCCATTCGGAGAACTCCCTGCTGGTCTCAGACACGACTTAGGGCATCCCGAGCGATCGCTTGCTCGGGCCGCGGCCATGTACGGGCTCACCCATAGTTGTCCCTGACTCTATTGTCCTAGGGTGGC